CTATGGGGAAATTTGCTTCGGGTTGTGACCAATTCGGGCTGTGACCAGAGTCACGGAACAAATTAAGTTCGTACCCCGAGGTACCACTGTATATGCCAAGGCTGCTCAGTGAAGTCTTCATCGCCACCATGGGGCTGAAATACAACACTGTAGGCCCGACATATATTGCAGGCATACTCTTGATCTATTTTTCAGGCTGGCAGTGAACCAGTGATTGGTAGGATGTAAATCTCTCCATTGTCAGGAGTAAGATTTTTGCTGATTGTGGTTGACCACCCCTATGTAAAGGTGTAATAGTAGTTGGGAAAAACCTTGGGAGATGGGGCAAAGAGATGCTTCCTAGGGAAGGTCAGATAAGAGACAGCATAGCCCGCAGCTGCATAGTGGGTGGAGCAAAAGGCTCAGAAGGGATCCTTCATAAGTTCCTGGGCTGTATGGGAGAATCGTACTTTCAGACTTGCAGATTCTGTTAATGTAGCTTTACAATAAAGTAGAATTAGCTGATCTGGTCATGTTTCCTGTCTGGCCTACTTGGTAAGGCTGACAAAAGGAATGTGGAGATAACCTTGATGATGGAATGGATGAACTGTTAAGGGAGGACCGATGGCAACTCATCATCAACAACTTTTCTGGGAAAGTAGAAAGTAAAAGAAACAAACTAAACTAAAAATAACTTTGTTTTTATATTGTTTGGTATATGAGGGGGCACAGAAATTCTGGCAGTCTTTCAAGATTCTATTATTATACCCTACAACAATAACATAGCATTCCTGTAATCCTTCTGGTGTCTGTTTTCTGACCTGGCCTACCTCAAAGGGCTGACATCAATCTTGAAAGCTGCCAAAGGTTCTGGAGAACTACTACTCAGTTGTGAATATCTGATACTTGGCTATGGTTCTTAGAAGCAGCCAATTATCTAGTTCTATAGAGTAGAGTAGAGTAGAGTAGAGTAGAGTAGAGTAGAGTTCAAAAAACAAGATATGCCTGTTAATCCAATCATATATGGGATGACAACTACTTTGAACAAAACTACCTTTAAGTTCACTGTTATTTTGCTTTTCTCTTTTTAAAATGAACTGTTTTTAACTTTTATTCTAATTGTTTTTAAACTTTGTTAGATTTATTAACAAGATTTTTTTCCCCCTTATCTTATAAACCACTTAGGGCTTCTTTGAGAAGAAAGTGGCATATAAATAAAAGAAATAAGCAAGCATGCTCTTAAGCCTCACGTGCTTGTCACATCTCAATAAAATGATCTGGCAAACTTACCAAGTATTGGAATAATGGTACTAGGTAAGATGCTCAGACAGAATCTTGCGTAAGAAAACAAAGTATCTTCCTACCTTTTCATATTCTTCTAGAATTCCTTTCCTCTTAATGTTTTTCTTTGCTAGGTAGATGGCTGGGGATTTAAAAAAAGAGACGATACATTGTTTGCACAGCTGCAAAAACCAAATGCATGTGATTAATGACTAACAATGTTATACAGTATTTTCCAAAGGGAGGCTCTGCCCCAGGTACATCCAGCAAAGACAGATGGCATTCTAGGGAGCCAGGCTCCAAGAGAGCATGGCTGCCGGTGTTTTCTCTAGACACATCATGCTGGACCCCACTATAGGTGTGGAGGAGGCAACAGCAAGTGAGGGGCAGATAGAAGTTTAGATGGAAGCATCCTTTAAGTAACAGAAGCCAAATATATGTGCAAGGCATACATACAGCAAAGATCAGAACTGCTGTTTTCTTTATGTTCCTAGTCAGCAAATACTTTTACCAATGACTTTAAAATGGGAATGACTTTTAATACTCTTTGAAGTCCAAGGGTTATTTAGGAACAGTGCTGCATTATGTCCAATGAAGACACTGTAGGATTTCTTGAAGCTATATATATCTGGTATTTTCTTAATGGTCTTTATTTGTTGGTGATAATAAGCTGACCTTTTTAGCTGCCTCATACTCAGTCAGATCACCAGTATATTTACCCCACATCTAACTACCATGACTGATTATGGGTTTCGAGACCTTCTTCTCCTCACCAGAGGTCCTCTCGACTGTAGATGCCAGAAATTGAATGTAGGCCCTTTTGTAAGTAAAGCTGGCACCTTACTACTGAATTATGAGAATCATACACGTTACCCAATAAAAAGGATGACTGCAATTGGCAGCTGGCATACAAGAAGCAGTACTGAAAAGGCTGTGTAGAGTGACTGACTGAAACTTATTTGGCTTCAGAGCATTGTCTCTATGCATGGACATCTTATTTCTTTCCAAGAAGCTGTATCTGAACAAAGAGATCCCCAAGAGAAAAACTGACCCTGTCTTTGCTGTCCTAATCCCTTCATTCAGAGAAAGAGACATGGAAAAAAAGATAGTCAGATAGTAATACAGTCCTAATCTTTCAGTTATTTTTGCGTACCTGTTCTTCTACATTTTGAACAGCTTTCACGTCCTTCTCAACTTTTTCCAGTACTACTATATCCTTTCTGCACTGTCTTTAACAGTACATAGGATTCAATTGATTGATGCACCACATTTGAAGGAATCAGTCTGAAAGAGGATGAGCCTAATTTCTTGTATTATAATTAGTATTTGCTTTAAAAATAGACAGCTTTCCTTATTTTTGTTTTGCACAGGACCCTTGCTGAAACTATCTGACAATTAAGTTATCTCACCATAAAAATCATGGCTCCATTCCTAATAATAGTCACAAATTTCTTTAATTTGAAGAAATAATCAAGGTTATGCTCTTGCAGATATTATTTTCTACAATCCAGTGCCTCAGAAGCAGCATGCCCACATGACAAGAAGGCACAGAAGAATGTAACACAGATAAAAGTAAGGCAGACAGTCCTTTCCATGTATACCCTAATTACCTGCATAATGACCCTGAAGAAAGTTGTACTATGTTCAGTGGACTAACTCCCAAATAAATGTAAATACCGGGATTGTAAATTTAGCCCCAATGTATTTCTTTATTCTGCTCTTTTAATTTACAGCTTCAAATTGTTAGATACTGTTGTTCATCTCCATCCACCAAATTGTTTCCTTTATGGTCCAAAATAGAGAAGGGACCACCTGGCTTTCTACTTTCCAGCTCTAGTCTGCTACTGTTATGCATAAAAAGGCTTAAGGCTGGGATAACAGCTATTTACTAGTTTACTTCTTTGGTGAATACACCCATCTTCCATTTCCTACACAGTACAGTCTCTTTTAACTCATTCAGAGACTTCCTGGGCATCCACAATGGTTCCTAAGCTGCACAGAATTGTTTTTCTCAGTCTTTTATTTTTGAGAAGTTCCCAAGCTTCCTCTGCTTTTGACTTGACAGTTCTTATCTTGGATCCGACCCAGAACTTCTTTAAACTTGTTGAAATTGGATCTCCTGAAATCTAGCGTGTGTGTTTATGTTGTGAGCCGCTCAGAGTCGATTTTGAGTTGGGCGGCACCTAAGCTGATTAAATAAATATTTAAAAGCAGGGTATGAACTGCTATTTGAAATAACATTTTAAATAAAAAACGAGTAATGGGGTAGACTCCCTTTTAAAGACGGGAATGTATTTTTCTCCATCAATGATTACCTATATGAAAGTTATTAGAGTAGGAGACATTTTGAGTTTATATGGTTTTTGCTGACATTAAAGTTTCACCAAGAAAAAGGAGGTAATATGTTACCATAATCTGTATCTTCTGCTCCCCACTGCTGGGTTGGCCAAAAGTAGGGTGTCTGTAGGAAGGAACACAAAAACTAAGAATCAAATTATTGATCAATTTCTTAACAAAGTTCTTCTAAATCATTCTTATATTTAGTATATCACTGCTAGCCAATAAAGCATAAAATGCTTTTAAATCATTTTGACATGTTTCTTCCCTATTATTCCCAATTATTTTAGAACAACTTTGAATAATGCCTTAACAATGAGGGTGAAAAGCCAAAAAGTGTGGAGGCAAAGCCAAAGATGCTAAGAATAACAACATTAGTAAAATTAATTAAGCTTTAAAACTGCAGATTCTTTCTTAGTACTTGCATTTCATGGTGAAAATGTTATATATGGTACAGGTAGTCCTCATTTAGTGACCACAATTGGGACTGGCAACTCAGTTGTTAAGTGAAGCGGTCGCTAAGTGAAACAGTGACTGTGTTTATCATCTTAATTCAGCTTTCCTTTGCTTTACAGACCTGCAAAGGTCGTAAATAAAAGGATTGGTCGTAAAGTTATTTTTCATCACCATTGTAACTGTGAATGTTGCTAAACAAGGCAGTCACTAAACGAAGACTACTATAATTTATATATTAAATTATATAATGAGGAAAATATGCACATGGAAGAATAGATCAAGGAAGGATAAAAGCAAAACATGGAGACTGGAGGCAGAAAAGGTGGGGGCAACTGAGATATGAAGGTTCCAGTGGGGTAAGAGAAAAAAGAAGAAAGAACAGGATGACTTGCATAGTCACGTTCTGCTGTCAAATCATCTTTCCATGAACCACGGTGTAACTCTCAAGTTGGAAGAAGTGGCAGATTGGTCAGGGCAGATGCCCTGTCTGCTATACCTCTCTGGCTCTCATTCATGCCACTGCTGTTGCTGGGCTGATACTAGTGAGTCTTGCCCTCTGCTCTGCCCAAGAAAGTTGGGTGATGAACTTCTCCTCTTGTCACATATGGGAAAGCCACATTATTTTTCCCACCTGTCCTTATAGCATTTTAAAGTGGGGTATGCCCATTTGAGTTGTTCCACCTTGGCCTTATATAGGTAGACATCCTTGGCTGGCTGTAGCTGGACTGCTTATTTACCAAGTCATGTGACTACAAATCTTTCCATTTAGTACTATTTAACAAATATGGTAGCAATTCACTTTTTAGATGGCATGGTCCAGATTATTTTGAAAAAAAAAATTTAGAATGTTGCTTGATTAGAGCCTATAGAGTAACATTCACACATGAATGGTCACAAGAATCCGTCTAGTATGACCTAGTATGACCAATTGCTCCAATAATCTTTAGACTCAGCTTTTGGGGCACCCAAACATCACTGCTGGAGGTGCGGCACATGATCAACAAGGCCTCTTTATTAGTGGCATTCAGACTTAAGGTGTTCCTCCTTAAGGAAATCTACCTCCTTTTCCATTGACTGGTATGCTAAAGCTCTACTTTTTTATAGAGCTTTTGTGAAGGAAAATGGATAGTTTTTTTTCTCTGTGCAGCTTGTCCTTACTCCTGTCCCAACTTCCATGATAGAACTCAAGGCAAAAAGTTGTCCCACTTTTACTGTGGCAGAGCCTTCTCCAACCTGTATTAGGATTACAATTCCCAGAATTCCTAGCCAACATAGCCATCAGAAGTCCTGGCTGGCAATTCTGAATTTTATAATATGGCCTGAAGAAGCTGGGGAGACATGTGCCTTTGCATCATGCCCCAAACCACTTTTTTTTTTTACCATCATTTTCTTAACCATTTTCAAGGTTTTTATAATTTGTTGCTGTTTCTTTCCAAGATAATTTTTATGACACTTTAAGGAAGCACCTTATGGGCCATTGTGATTGAAAGGCTTTAAGAAAATAAATAAAGCTTTACAAAAATAAATAAAAATGTATCATTAGTTTAAGCCATGATGCAAAGTAGGTTAGAATAAACTATTTGGGTATCAATCCACCCACCTGGAATCGATAGAGACTGCTGTCTGCTCTGAGAGTAAGATTCTTTCGTTCTTGAAGAGGATAGATGTACCCACACTTGATGATCATACTTCCTAAATTTAGTGCCTCTTAAAAAAAAAAAAAACCACAGGTCAGTTGCTTTCACTGGGATACACACAGTAAAGTCAAGTAATCAGAAACTACCCACTTTAGGGGGACAAAATACATCAGTTAAAAAATAATTGTATGTCCCTACCTTCACTGGTAATCTGCAAACGCTGCATAATCCATTTCAGTATATCAGAACCTGGAAGGCAGAGGCAACAGCAGACAACAGCATTAAGTCAACCCGAGTTTTATTCCAGCATCTCTTCCCAGATAGTAGGAACTACTATTTATCTATAGAGGCTAGGAGAGAAATGTAAATCAGAGGCATAACCAGCAGCGCCAGGAGTAGACAAAGCTTTTCTGGTGATCTGAAGAGATTTTGAAAAGGGATCACTGCTTATCACTCTATACTCATCCCATTTTTCATTAAAACGGGTTTTTGTATTATTCTAAACACTTGCATATAATATTTGGTCAAAAGGGAAAGTCAGTCTACAGAATATGTACGTATGCATGTCCTGCTTGGACAGAAATGTGGCAAATAATACCAAAAAATTACATATGTTGCAGGAAGCCTTTACAATTCTTTTAAAAGAATTAAAAGCCTTTCCTTCTTTTGAAAACAACACAAGCCCGTTACCGCAGGGATCTGCACCATGGTGACTCGTGTAGAAATATGCCCATGACTATCTTCTTGGCACTTACCAAGCTACCTTGCTTAATCTGACTCTTAAATTCTTTTAGATTCTCTTAATTTTACACAAATGGGAAGCTAGTGCGCTGCCTCAAAGGAAAAGGATGATTTCTAGCATCGTTTTCGTTTACAAAAATGTCTTTCAGCTTCACCTAAACTACCTAGGAATTCTTGGAAATTAAAAATGGAAAGTGGCTGTAACCTAATGGCTTTGTCTGCAAAGGAACCTACTTGCCCAGACAGAAAGAAACAAAGGTAATCTGGGAGTGTTAGAGGCTGTTCCAGGATGCTAGTGAGTGGATCATTTGCTTTCTAAGAAATGTATATATTGGAAGAGAGTAGGTTATCTTTGGATACTTTGGGAGTAGGCAAAGACATAAGACCATTTTGTGAAAGTGTCACTTTCATAATTCCAAATAAGTTCAGTGGCGCAAAATGGCTGCCTTCATCTCAGCCACTGTAATCTTCTGAGGAAAGACAAACTGGTATGAAATAAGAGAAAGAATAAGAGCGTGAACTAAGAAAAAAAACACCTGTTACTTGGTCCTATTTTCTGATCCTAACCAAAATAATAGTGCAAGTCCCCAAATTATCCCTTGGTAACCTTGAGTTCTACGGCACTTTTAAAGACTTCAGTATTTCTTGTGTGTCTCTAATGCTTGAAAGCTACTTGCTTTTTGACAAAAGTATTGACCTCTTTCTTCTGATTTCCAAAGCATATGTTTTGCTACATTTAGCTTTTAAAAGCTGATGAAAAACTAAATTGTATTACAACATATGGGGAAATGGGAACTGCACTGTATTCTCTCAACAAGGTGACTCACTGGGAACATATTATTTCCTCTACAAAAGAAAACAGCAGGCTAGCCAGGAGTCATGTATTTCAACTAAGGGGTTACTTGGAAATTAAAAATGAATATATGCATCAGATTTCAAAGGCTAGAACTTATACCCTGGCCAGTAAAAGAGTATTCATGGAACTTACATGAATGGGCATTATCATCATCTTCAAGTACATTTAATTAATGGAAAATTGCCAGTAGAGAGGAAAATGATGAAGACGCATTTGTGGTTTCTAAGAGGTTTTGTTTTTGTTTCTTAAATCTTACTTATGAATCAGAAATGTAATGCACATTTTCAGGCACATCAAAACCAGAAATCTGATTTGGGAACATATGCATTTCTCTGGGCATGGATTCATGTTCAGTTCTAAATGTTGCCAAAATGCAATTCAAAATGCTACCCTTTCCTGACATGTGGCTGACTGCTCGAGATGCACACCAGCAGTCAGGAGCTGTTATCCCTATTACGAAGAGTGCTTCCCAAAATAGATGAAATTAAAAGATTAACCTGTCACTCAGACCCTCCTTAGGTAACCTTATCTGCAGCTGCTCTTCCCTTTGAGAGATTATGCTTATTGTCACAACCCTGAACTCACCATGAAGCTACACCTGTTATTCAGAGGAACATGGGGGCCTAAGTTTCTATGCTTTCTTCCTCTTAAAATATAGAGCCACTACAATTCCGACTATTTTTTTTCATTGACAAATGAGTAAAATATAAGGTAGGCAGGGCAATTAAATGGTTTATAAATTGCCATGAAACAATTAATGTATGAAAACAATACCAATCAAATTGCCTTTAAGAAAACCATATCTTATGCACATTACAGGTGTTCAAAGTTCAACGAGCCTTGACATCCATGGAAGAGGACTGGAAAGAGTATTTCACGTTAATGACTGGCTATGAAAATGGTGTTGATAGGACAGAAATATTTTCTGGGACTAGCATCTGAATTAGATTGACAGACTGCTGACACAAAATGGGCTGCGCTTCACAAGGACTGTAAAAATGGGTTCAGCCAAAGCATGGCAAGTTGGATCAGGAGGGCTTTAAATGGAATCTGGGGGTTGGGGGTTGAAAATGAAAATCCTGAAGTATTTCAGATAAAGTCTTGTGCACTTTAGGAAGTGAGACTGTTGCTGAAGGATGCTTCTTAAACTACTCAAAGAAAAATGAGAAAGAACACTAGTTCTTAAAGTTCATGACCTGTGTTGTCTACACAGTAAGGATGAGAACAAGGGTGATGGGATGATGGTAGACTGTTACTATAGTGGACTGCAAATAAAGGATTAGACACTTCCTTATAAAGAAAGGGACGGAAAGCTAAGAGAAGGGAAGAGGAGAGAAGCAGCTGACAGTGTAAAACAAAACAAAACAAAAAGGAAATAAAAGGGACAATCCATATATATTAAAAGAAAAGAGACATACAGATGGATTTCCTGGAAAAGTGAACAGTCACTGTAAATAAGCATGGGATTTTCCTGCTGTACCTCTAAAGAGAAAGGTCTTATATCCTATATTATTTGTTGATATAGAATCAGTATTAGAGTTTTAATTTTTTGCAATCAACTCTGAGTAAATGGGAGGCAGAATATAATCTCCACCCCATGCCCAAGATACTATCTTCCATGATAAACTTATAGTTCTTATACTGAGGTTGTTATTTTGGAGAAATGACTAAGTGTTTATACAGATGGTTCTCACCTAACCATTCGTTCAATGACTGTTCGAACTTGCAATGGTGCTCAAAGTTCTGCCCATTGCAATGTCCCTGCAGTCACGTGATCGCAATCCCAGCGCTTTGCACCTGGCTCGCAATTATGATGTTACAGCATCCCACAGTCACATGGTCACCATTTGTGACCTTCTATGCCAGCTTTCTACAAGTAAAGTCAATGTGGAAGCTGGCAGGAGGTCGCAAATGGCCATCACATGACATCCTCACTTAATGATCATGCAGAATTCACTTAATGATGGCAACTGGGAAGTACCGGAACTGCCATCACTAAGCGACACAGTCATGTGACATCGTACTTCATGACTGCATCATTTAGCAATAGAAATTTCAGTCCCAATTGCCATCATTAACCAAGGACTACCTGTACATTCCCATCACACTATCCCCTTTTGAAGTAAGCAATGTTACACAAAGCTCAGAAAGAGTAAGCTATGGTAAGCAAGATAACAAGAGTTTTCCTTAGCACTGACAGATCTTAACACAGGTACTGAAAGCTTCTAGTACTACCAATCAAAAGTATTACACAGCTAGTCTGTCTTTCTGTCCTTAATGGATTTTCTGTGGCAATTAAAATAGTGGAAGAAATGGTGGGAAATCAAAGGTCTACAAATGGCAGACAGTAATGTCAATATTTTTATAGGGAAGGTTGTTGCAAGGGTGGTGGAGAATCAGCTGCAGAATACCCTAGAAGAAGCAAATTATCCGGATCCGGATCCCAAAGCTGAGATTTGGGTCTGGGTCCAGGACTGAAATGGTTTTGGATGCATTGGTGGTTTAGACCTTTCAGTGACTTTCAACACCACCAACCGTGGTATTTATCTGAACTGCCTGCATGAACTGGAAGCGCTGGTTTGCGGTGATTCTGCTATTTCCCTAGTGGGCATTTCCAATCAGTGATTATAGGGGTAGGAGAGGTTAGAGATTCAGATTCCCCCCCACCATTGTTTAATACCTATATGAAACTTCTGGGAGAAGTAATTTGTTGGTTTGGGATTGTGTTATCATAAGTATCCGATATGCTTGTGATATTCAATTGTACACTGTCACCCTGGCTGACCAGTGATGCTGTAGAGATCTTGTCCCAATGTCTGGAGGCTGTAAAGGCCTGGATGGGTCAAAATAGGCTGAAGTTCTCTTAGGTGGGAGGCTCTACCCCTAAGGGAGGTCTGCAGCTTGGGAGTCCTCCTAGACCATAGCTACTTCTGGATGGTTAGATGGAGGCCATCACCAGGAGGGCTTTGTTCAGCTTCAACTGGTGAAATAGTTGCAACCCTATCTGGAGTGTGAGCATCTCACAACAGCAGCTCATCACCGTGTGACTTTGTTGCTGTTGTCCAGATTATTGCAATGTTCTCTACACTGGGATCATTTGAAAGCAACAGAGAAGGGGCAATTGCTGTCAAAAGCATATAACACTGGTGCTGCAAACCCTACACTGGCTACCAGGTGCAATTCAAAGTGCTGGTGTTGTTCTATAAAGCCCTATTTGGCTTGGTGCCTAGTTACTTGCCAAACCACCTCTTCCTACCTGAATCCACCTGTCTTGTACAGTCATTCTGGGAGTCTGATTGTTTCCTACTTTTGTGATATCGGGAGGTGGAGTGAGGACACACAAGGCTAGAAACTGTTCATTGCTTATGGCGCCAGCCCTTGGAATGATCTTTCTTTAGAAATCAGATTGGTCCCTTTGCTAATTTTCCAGAAGAAGGATCTCTTTCAGAGGATATTTGATAATCAATATTTATCATAATATTTATTATTATGGTGCTATTTTTGCTAGACTGAATGATGTAGCTTTGTCAAAATCCTGGGATTATGTTTAGATTTAAGTCTTTTACCTACCTTGGCCCCTTTTGGACTTTTTGCAGGAGACAGAAAAAAATGAAACCATGATTTATGGATTTGATGATTAGTTAAAATAATATGTTATACAAAATATGCATGTTAAGATATAGTTTAAGAGATCACTATATGATTCATTTATATCTGCTGTATAAGAAGTCAGAAGTCCTTCTTTTTGTAATTTTTCCTTCTTTCCTTTTTCTTTAATTTTCATCCCTATTGTATTCCTTCTTTAACTCTTTTGTTCTCTACTTTTCTTCTTGATTATTGGTTCTTGTTTGCTTTCACCTGTATGCTTTTTATAACTTAATAAAGTTCTTATAAAAAAAA